GGGGGGGGCCGTTCTCTTCTTCCCCCCGTCCAAACCCTGGTGCTGTCGGACACTTCAGCATCCCTGAGGTTGCCTGGAGGTGGGGGGATGGTGGTGGGACCGTGCCCGGGTCAGTGGAAGGACCACGCTGAGGTTGCCGGCCGGGGCTCTGTCTCGTCAGCCCACCGCAGTGTTGGGAGCGCGAGGGGGGAGAAGTGGGCTCTGGGAGGAACGCACGCGGGGAAGCCCTGGATGGTCCCGTGTCCCCTGCAGGTATGTCACCCACCTGATGAAGCGTATTCAGAGAGGCCCTGTCCGAGGCATCTCCATCAAACTGCAGGAGGAGGAGAGGGAGAGGAGAGACAACTACGTCCCTGAGGTGAGGCTCTTGCTGTGCTCTAATAACCTGTTCAGGTGTCTTGTCTGTCCTGTCTCGAGGTATCTTTTCCTTCGGTGGGCCTAAATGTCTTCAAAACAAGACCTCAGCTGGGAGGAGCTGAGGAGGGTTTGGGCCGGGGAGGGTTGAGGCAGATTTTGGCGCCATTTCAGGGTGCTTCCTATAAAAATGCTGCCTGGAGTGGGAAGGGTGACGATTTTCTTAGCGTTTCTATTTTGCTGCCAGCAGGCAGATGATCTCTGTCCTCAGTTTTCTAACTTAAAATGAGGGGAAAAAAATAACTTGGTGGAAGGTTGTTCTGGGATTGAAGAGCAGGAGACCTTGGGTCCGGAAGGAGGAGCAGCCGTGGCAGTTGGGCTCTGGCCTTTGGGAGATGCATCACAGGACGAGGGCAGTTGCACACCTGCCCCCAGTCTTGTTTGCAGCGGTGTGGGACTGGAGTTGGGGGCATGAGGACACCCCGGTGGCTGTGGAGTCTCATAAAACCATGTCTCTTCTTCCTCTTCCTTCCTCAGGTCTCTGCCCTTGACCAGGAGATCATCGAAGTGGACCCGGACACCAAGGAGATGCTGAAGCTCCTGGTGAGTGAGCCCTGCCAGGCTGATGGCACATCCCCAGCTTGTCCTCTCCTCTACCCAAGGCCCCTCTCCTTTCCCATCTCAAGCTGGGTGGTCATCTCCTTTCTGAAGACGTCAATCTATCCTTGGTGCTACCTCGGCACCTTCACGATTTTTTCTGGGAGGAATCTGTCAGTGCGAGCAATCCTGATCCCGTGATGCTTTTTCTTTTTGCAGGACTTCGGTAGCCTGTCCAACCTGCAGGTGACGCAGCCCACGGTGGGGATGAACTTCAAAACGCCCCGAGGAGCGCTCTGAGTCTGTTGCTTTATTTTTATTTTTTTTTCCCAATAAATGTGGGGAAAACGGTCTCAGCCTGCCTGGTCTTTGGAAGTCCCGGGGGTGAGGAGGGAAGGGATTGTGCCCCAAAATTCCATGTGTCCGAGGGCAAGGAGGATGTGACAACTTCACATCTTTCTGGGTTCTTTCCCGACTGTTTTGCATGATGAGGTGAAACACCCACCCCCGGTACGAATGAAGAAAGACAAAAGGGTTTGTATTTTGGGAGGAAACCATCTGTATTTATTAACTTGCAGAATTTGGTTTTAATATGTAAAGAAGAAAACGTTTGCAGCTAGTTTTTAAATATTGCAGGATGGAGCTGCAAGGTGGGATAATTTTTGTAAATCCCCCACAGAGATTTAACTTGGAATTTGCAACCAGTCTTTTTGCTCTTTAACCAAAATGGGCGTAGAACAGAGACAAACCACAGATCTGCCTGAGACAGTGAGTGAGGAGCAATCTCAGCAGCTTAAGTTTCTGGCTGCAACTGAACTTCAAGGCTTTTTTGGTTTGTTTTTTTTCGGGGGGCGGGGGGAGGATGCAAATGGCTGCCTGTGCCTCACAGTTTTTTCTTTGCCCTGCTCTTGGCATCCGAATAAATGTTGATTTTATCGTGAATCCAATATACCGCGTAGTCTGAGGCGCCGGGGGTGAAATCATGAAGCTCACCTTCGTATTTCTTCATGTCTCGAGCAGAAGGGTAGCCTGAAGAGGAGGAGGGAAAGCTGGAGGGGAATCAAGTCAGGTCGCGCACCCCCAGCCTTTAAGTACTGGGAGGAGGGAGGGAGCTTCCTCTGCAATTGTTTTCAGGCAGAAAGAAAGAAAAAAGCCGGACCAGTGCCGGTTACCTGTAACCATGTTGTTTATTGGGTATTCCTGGAGGGCACAGTACAGGAATTCCTTCTCGGCAGATGCGCTGGAGCCTGTTTCTTCTTTGCTGCTGAGCGGGAAGTAAACCCCACAGGTTGTTTCGTACGCCTTGGGGATTTCTTGAAATTTGAGGGCAGGAAAAATACCTTTCAGCCAAGTCTAGGGCATCGTCCTCCTCTTCCTCCACGGCTTCCTCGCAGCCTGTTTTTGCCACCTCCGGTTTGTCCATCGTGTTTTCGTCAGGCTGTGAGTATGGAGGCAGAGTTAAGAATTGTGCCCTGGGTACCCCGCCCGAAACTGGAGATACCTATGAGAGGTCTTAATTTTTAATTACTTTCTTTTAAAGTCCACCTCCCATAGTATAAATTTCTCATCTTACCTCTTCTGCAAGCGAACCATCTGCCTGCTCCCAGATGAAGTTACCGATTTGCTGTCTGATTTCTGCCACACAGAAAGAAAATGACTGTGAGAGTGGCAAAATAACAGCTGCTGCCTTCTCCTCGTGGAGCAAAACCTGGATGAGTTTTTTGGGTTCTTTGGTTTTTTTGTGGTTTTTTTATCCTGCTACAACCTTCTTGCAGGCAGGCAGGTGGCAGGACAAAGTGGCCCAGAACTAGAGAGAGCTTTGCTCCTGCGGAGAGATAACGGGAGTGGAAGACCGTGGCTCTGCCCTCCAAGTAATCAAGGCTCTCATGTATTCTGGAAGAGAAAAAAAGACACCGGGTTTCAAAAGGTAAACTTGAAGAAAAAAAAAAACCAAAACATGCAAGCAAGCCCAGCTGAAAATTTGACACTAGTCATCCAGACTGGCCTGCTTTTGGCAGGTGGGTTCTCCATGTTTCTAAATATTCTCCAGGTGGAGGATAGACCCTGAGGAGCTGGCGTCTCCCAGGCAAGGAAGGGTGACATGGTGGAGGGGAGGGAGGTAACAAAGCCCACCTGCGGGTGTCCGGGTGGGCAGCATCGCTGCTGAAGAGGTAGTCAGCATCCTGCCAGTGCGTGACTGTCCCACCGCTGGCCGCTGTGGAGGGGGGAGAGCAGGGTCAGGGGCATGGTGGATGTCCCCTCTTACCCAGCCCCGAGCAGGGGCAGATGTTGCTGGGAGCACCTCACCCCACACCTCCCGGGGGCTGGGGCTGACGCTCTGCGAGAACCAGGCGCGATGGCCCCGGAACATCCTGGAGGGAAGATCCTGAGGGATGGCGGGAGAAGCCCTGAGAGAAAGAGTCCTGAGGGGCGGCTGGAGAAACCCCGGAGGGAAGGCGGGAAGAGCCCCGAGGGAAGGCGGAAGAGCCTCGAGGG